AGGAGGTCGCGGAGGCTGACGTCCCGCTCCGTGAAGGAGTGGTACTTCTTGGGAGGGACGCGAGGCGAGTTGCTCTGAGCTCGATGCATCACCTGGAGAGCAAGGTGGTTGTTTACAGGCGAAAGGAGTCTGCGAACCAGAACCGGGGGGGGGGGCGGGGTCATGGCAGAGACACGCCCCCCTCACAGCTCAGATGATGACATTCATGGGTTTTAAAAACATAATTCACTTCAGGTCCCTTTTATTGACTTGACTTGTCTGTTTATGATGATAATTATTGTTAAACATAGAAGAGTCATTTCAGAGCACAACAATTGCTGTCAGGTTGCTGCACCTAAAAACATGAAAACCAGAGAGTGGTTAGAGGTGGAGGTGGACTCCTCCGCAGGTGAAGGTGATACCTGCACAAACGTTTATTCTCCCCACAATACAATGAACATGGAAAAAACAATCACAGTTATTCCGCAGCAAAACGTTTTATTTGATCTTAACCGTTCACAGCATTATTTTAATAAATCAGGAAATATCAAGCAATAACTTTTCTCCTCTACAAACGTAAAGCAAAGTGCATTAGTGGGATTGTTATGGTGCAAAAGTTCAATTTTTAAAAAATCTAACTAACATTTGTTCTGTTATTTAGTTTAGACATATCTTTATTTAACATCTTTTAAAAGCTATTTCTTTTACTATGAACTTAATTGTTTTTTATTCCTTGTGCAAATCAGTTTAGTAACTGCTTGTAAATTAGTTATTAGTTAAATGTCCGCAGACGAGTTTATTAAATCCGAACTATCTCTTGAACACGCAAAGCAGAGACTTCAAAATCGCGGCCAAGCGCAAAGCGCCGCGAAAACCCGCCTCCCTCGCCGCCAGTAACGTCCCGGAGCGACCGGCTACGGTGGCGCGGCGTCTGCGTGCCGCCTGCTTTACCTCCTTGGTCCAGGCCGGCTTGTCGTTGGCGCCGGGCGCCTGGTCCTTGTAGTGGTACAGCTGCTTCTTGTCCTGCGGCGGGCGCGCCGGGTCCTGCTGCTGCTGCTGCTGCAGCGACACCAGGTACGCCCGCTCCTGCTGCAGCTGCCTCTGCAGCCGCTCCGCCTGCCGCTGCTCCTCGATCTGCTTCCTCTTGTACTCCTGCGCGTCGGGGGGGGGGGGAAACAGAGCATTTAGCGTTAACCGGTGCAAAACAGAACACAACCATTGATTCTCACTAATGCCGTTTTTTTTTTGTGCGATGCAACGATTAAATGCTCTTTGCGTTTGATGCAAAAGTCACGAGGACTCACTGGGATTCGTGTTCCATTCGACATTAGAATCGAGTGATGAAATGCTTTTGGTGTTTGGCGGCAGCACGATGACCCGGTGCACTCGCTCAGTGGAGCGGAAACTTTGCCGCCTTTAAATATAAAGTGATGAAACCCGGTGGGCGGGGGGCCGTCAGCCGGGCCTTCTCTGTGCAGCTCGTTTTAAAGGCAGCTTTTATCCAATCAGATGCCTCTGTGTGTTTGCGTGTGGTGTTACCAGCAGTAAGGCCTGCTCCTGCAGGAGCTGCTGCTGCAGGATCTCCAGCTGCCGCTGCTCCTCCTCCAGCTGCCTACGGATATACTCCTAACCGGGGGGCGGGGGGCGACGTGAGGCGCAGCCAATCAGAGAGCGGCGAGGAAGCAAAGTCGGAGCCCAGGCAACCAGTGACATCAGCAGAGCAGGAAACGGAGGAAAGGAGATATAAGAGGAGGAAAGTGGATTCATTGAGGAGGTGTGAAAGCAGTGACTTGGAGATAAAGAGAGAAGCGGGGGGGTCGTCATTAGTAGAGCAAGAAAAGAAAAATCTGTGAGAGTAAAGTTAACGAACAGCCTCCCGTGGGTGATTCTTTCTCTCTCTTTGTAATTACAGAATGTGGCATTTAAAAGTAAAACATATTTGGCTACAGGACGTTTTCTATGTAAAAAGGGTTTTCTTAATAAATAATCTATGGAATTACTTTCACCCGCTAATCACTTTATAGATTTTAGGTTTAGATATTGTATTTTTTCTTCCACTAGAGAAAATCTTCCTGTATTAGTAAATGTTTTTACCCTGTTAACCCTTGAAGGGGCTTCCTGCAGCTTCTTAACCCAACCGGATCAGATCTTATGGATCAATCAATGCCACAGTGGTTCAATAAATAATCAATTAATCTCCCACTTACGTCTGTTTCCAACGGAGGAAAAGAAGAAAAGGCTCGTAAGAGAAAGAAGTGCAAAAGATGATGTTGTTAAGCCCCGCCCCCCTCACAGACGACCCCTGCGTGGTGACGTGGTGGTGGTGGTGGTGGTGGTGGTGGGAGGGGGGAGGAGGAGGTGGTGCTCCCCTACCTGCTCTCTCTCCGCGTGCCTCCTCTCCTCGTCCCGACGGAGCTGCTCCATCTCCTCGTACCTCCGCCTCTGCTCTCGCTCCTGCTGCTTCCTCATCTCCCGCTCGCGCCGCTGTTGCTGCAGGTGGAGACGTTTTAGAACGTGTGTGTGTGTGTGTGTGTGTGCACCAGGTATGTTTCCCTGGCCTTTGGAGAGGCGGAGGTGCTAACAGTCTCAGGTGGGGGGTTCGGAGCGGTTCAGTAATCAAAGCGCCGTTAAGCCTCTGAGCCCCAAACAGAGCAGCTTTTTTTTTTCTTTAAATAATCTGCAAACTTCATCGGGACGGAACAAAACACGTTATCAGATTTTAATCTTCACGACAAACACTTCATGTGGAAAGAATGATAATGATCATTATAAGTAAAAGATAACGTTACATTTTCATGGTTTATTGACTTCAGAGCGTGAAATACGCAGACCTGCTGCTACGATCAAAAACCATGATAATAATAATTAATATCTGGATATTTGCTCGCATTCGTCCGCGTGTTCCATGATCTGAAGGAGACAAGCGCAGGAAGCCTTAAATAGTCCGACGGGCTCTTATTTTGGCGGGGGTTACCTCCTCCAGCCGCCTCCTCTGCTCCTTCTGCTCCTCGATGCGTTTCTGCCTCTCGGCCAGCAGTTGGCGCTTGTGCTCCTCGTTCTGCTGCTGCTCCAGCTGCTGACGCCGGATCAGCTCCGACCGCTCCTTGTTGGCCAGCTGGAGGCGCAGGAAGTCCCGCCTCAGGGTCGACTCGCCGGGGATGTTGATGATGGAGCTGGAGGAGGATTTCAGTTATGGACAATATACTATAGTTGTGCTAGTAGTAGCTAGTACTAATACTGTAGGGGTAGAAGTAGCAGCATAGTATTCACAGTAGTATAGAAGTAGCAGTAGCATCATGCATTGTAAGCAGTAGTAGTACTACCGTCAGTACTATAGTACTATGAGTAGTAGTGGTTGTACCTGGGCTCTCCGACGTCTCTCTCTTCGTCCTCTTCTTCACTCCCGCTGTACTCGTATTCTGTCTCATCTGGAGGACAAACACACCTCAGGTCAACATCCGCATGTCCTGAAACATCTGGCCCGTCGTCGTCGTCGTCGTCGTGGCAACGGGCTCACCCCTCTCCCCCCTCCTCTTCTTGGTGCGGTCGATGTGGTCCTTCAGCTGGATGCGGACCTGCCGCTCGTTGGGGAGGTCCCGGATGAAGGGGTGCTTGAGGAGCTGCTCGGTGCTCGGCCGCTGGCTGTGGCTCTTCACCAGGCAGCTGTCGATGAAGGACTGGAACTTCTTCGACCTGCACGCCACAAAACGCACCTCCTTCTTTAGATCGTTTAAATGATGACGGAGGAATTCTACTTTCCAGATAGACGGGAAAGTACATAAAACACAACTCAATGAATAATGTCTTCTGCATGGTGAACTGGAAGTACGTACAGACGGCGTCTCTGGTAGACACCTGTCAATCAGCATTAAGCCCCGCCCTAAAGCATCCCCTGCTTTACGGTCTGTTTGACTCTAAATGGACTATAATCTACTAAATGGACATCATGCTGTATTGAACAAGACCTGAAACTAGAGATTGAGACCATAAACTCATGTTTACAATGTTTACTGAGGGAATAAATCAAGAGAGAAGTATTTTCAGTCATTTTCTCATAGACGTCTATGGGACCAGAGGAGTCGCCCCCTGCTGGTCACTACAGAGAAGTAGAGTCATTTCCTCATAGACGTCTATGGGAGCAGAGGAGTCGCCCCCTGCTGGTCACTACAGAGAAGTAGAGTAATTTCCTCATAGACGTCTATGGGAGCAGAGGAGTCGCCCCCTGCTGGTCACTACAGAGAAGTAGAGTCATTTCCTCATAGACGTCTATGGGAGCAGAGGAGTCGCCCCCTGCTGGTCACTGCAGAGAAGTAGAGTCATTTCCTCATAGACGTCTATGGGAGCAGAGGAGTCGCCCCCTGCTGGTCACTGCAGAGAAGTAGAGTCATTTCCTCATAGACGTCTATGGGAGCAGAGGAGTCGCCCCCTGCTGGTCAGTAGAGAGGATGCAGCTTTAACGCGAGAAGCTTTAGCTTCACATTAAAGAAGGTTATTCTGAAATGCTTTAAAACGCACCTTTACATAGAAATCAGATTACTGATGAATGTGGCGACTGATTGATGACTCACCACTTCTTAGACTTTAGTCGGGGGGCGGGGTTTCTGGGGATGAGGAAGAGCGCTCTCATTGGATGCATGTCGCACAGAGCTGATGAGGAAGAGGTGGAGGAAGAGACGAAGACAAGAAAGGAGGAGAGGAAAGGACACACCAGGATAGGAGATGAGGTCGCATGACAGGAAAGGAAACAAAGGGACAAAAGACGAGGAGGAAAAGAAAGAAGGGAAATGGATGCAGATGAGGAGACAAGAGGGAAGGAAAAGGGCAAAAGAACGAAAGGGGATTGAGAAGAGAGAAAGAAAAAGGAAACATCACTGCATTAAACAAGAGTATAAAAAATGTAATAAGAGACTAAATTAGATGTTTAACAAGGAGACAAAGTGTCCTCTGTGTCCACTAGTAGTGTTTAATGAGTCGGAAGCTTCACACTTACGTGGTGCTCCCTCTGCCATCTCTATCGCTGTGATACCGAGCGACCACAGATCACTCTGCAGAGACACACACACACACACACACACACACACACACACACACACACACACACACACACACACACACACAGGAAACTGAAAACTTTCACATTCTAAAAACTTCACACGTCTTTTTTTCGTACTGGTCGCTGTTCTTGTGAAGTGATGAAAAATACAGAAAGTATCCGTCCGCCCGTTTCACATAGAAGCATCGACTGTGGTTTTATTCATTTTAATCAAAATAACGAGCGTGACGAACATCGATGCCCCAGTTAGCTCGTTGATTTAGTCGTCTTGGCTCCACATTTGCAGCACAAGCACTTAAAATAGTATATTATACTATAGTACTATATTGTACATATAAAAACATCCGGTTTGACTAACTTGTAAAATAAGGACTACATCTTCATTTCGTTGCTCATCTTTGTGTTGCATAATGACAATAAATGATGAAAAGTACAGTAGTTGTCACCATAATGTCTGAGTTACACACTGTACCACACACTGTACCACACACTACTACACGCTGTGCTACACACTCTACCTTGAAGTCGTAGGTGGCGTCGGGGTTTTCGTCGCAGGCGATGACCTCGGGCGCCATCCAGTACGGCGTCCCGATGAACGTGTTCCTCCGTCCCACCGTGCGGTCCAGCTGAGCGCTCACACCAAAGTCCACTGCCAAAAGTACACGCAAAGTACACGCAAAACGCAGAAAGAACGGATTGGATTGGTTGTCAAATACTTATGACATATTTATGTAACGCACCACTCGTTTCCTTCGTGAAAGTGTGTAATTTATCATCACGATATGATGATGTTTTTAGCCGTGTGTCTGATGTGTGTGTGTGTGCGTCTTCCCACCTAGTTTGACCTCGGCGTTCTCGTCAGCAGCACGTTCTGGCCCTTGATGTCTCTGTGGATGACCTTGTGCTGGTGGAGGTGAGTCAGACCCTGGAGACCGAGAGGAGAACGACCTCACAATGATGCTGAGCTACTCTCCTTACACAAGACACCGATACGTCCACGCTCAGAAAACTCTTACAATATTTACTTTAAATATAGATTTTTTTGTACTTTTCATGAATATAATATTTTCATGACTATGGTTTTTGACAGAAACCAAAGATGTAAGCACATAAGCGGTGTGTTTTGTGCATTTACATTTCAAAATAACGTAATAGTCAGAGATTCCTTCAGGTTTTCTTCCATACTACAAAATTAAAACATTAGTAGATGCTGCATAAAAGAAAACCAGCTGTAACTTCAACGTGTTATTACTGATAATCACTCAAAATGTTCCTTTTTTTAATAGTAATTATTCATTAATATGTTGCGTGGCATTTGTAAAGAACAGCAGTGAAAGGTTAACCCACAGGGCAGCGGATGATTTCCTACCGGATCCAATACGCCCTTTGTTAAAAATCAATAACGTTCTGTGGCTATTTTAACGAGCCTCCTCGGGATCTATTCATGGAAGATACGGGAGACGCATTGCGCTCAGAACCACGGGGTGAAAACAAAACCTGAAATAAGACAGAATATGAAGGCGTTCCTCAGGGATCCTCCCTGGGTTCCCTCGTGTTCGCCACCGCCGGGCGAAAGCTCGCGGCCTCACCCGGAGGATCTCCCTGCACACGTAGGCGATCCACTCCTCCTTCAGGGAGTTCCCTTTGGTGTTCTTGATCAGGTCGGTGATCGAGCCGGCGCCGCAGAACTCCATCACCAGCTGCACACAGACACCAGCTCACGGGTCACCACACCGTCTCGCATGCTTTACTTTGGCAAAACTATTTATCTTAAGCTGAAAGAACTAATAATCTAGAGGATTATCCAAATAAATGGTCACACAACGACAGTTCAACCCGGAATAAAGAATCACATACTTCACAGAACCAAAGGAGTCAATTGTTTCAACTTCTTTCCTCAAGATTTAAACCTGAAACGTTGGTTTCACGCACCCAGAGCTGGTCGTCCATCCCAGGAGGGTTCTTCTTGACGAAGGCTCCGTAGTAGGTCGCTATGTTCCTGTGGTGGCTGTACTTCTTTAACATGTTGATCTCTGCTTTAATCTCCTCCTCCTCATCCTGAAACACACACAGACACACACAAAGACACACATTGCAAATATAAAAACAAGTCCGGGTTCAATAATGAAATCCTACAAAAAGAAAGGCGGGCCGGTGCTGCATCGAGTGCCCTCGATCACAAAGGTGTGTGTGTGTGTTCAGATTGGACACGCGTGTGTTTGTGTGTGCGTGTGCTACTTACTCCTGTGACGTCCATGACTTTGATGGCAGCGAGCTGTCCTGTTTTGACATGTCGACCCTGAGTGAAAAAGAAAACGGACAAAATAAAACCATTAAATCACTGACTGTGTGTTTGTGTGTCTTTGTTGTTTTAATGTATTTTTCCACTTCAGAGGGAAAACACCTGAAGACGGTAAAAGAAGATTAAACAATATATTAACACACACATATATATATATAATATTTAGTCTTCTGGGAGACTTCACACGTTGTTTGTCAACTAACAATATCAACTTTATAAAAAGTCTTAAATAAAGTCCATTAATTCAGTTCTACATGTCGTCTCTCGGTCACACGTACATATATCGGTTGATCTGAATGTTTTTAGAGGTTCTGAAACCATTCATTTCGCAAAAAAAAGCTGAATGAAAAGCATTTCTACGTAGAGTCGTCCCGCGGCGGGGTCGCGACCCTCATGTTGGGAACCTGAGGACGATTAAAAAGTCTCCGGCCGCCTCCGAACCAAAGTCAGCGACACAGCTGTGGAAGCGAAGTGGAAATGTATCCTCCTCACCAGCATCAGCCCACCACCCCATCACTCACACACACCCGCGCAGACACACACACACACAGTCTCCTCGTGGTAACCTAGCAACAGGCCAGGCAGGTTGTTTAGCGAGGGCAACGAATGGGGGGTTGGAAGAGGCACAGTGATGGAAGTGTGTGTGTGTGTGTGTGTGTGTGTGTGTGTGTAGGGAAGCCATGATATTTCACACTCTGGGTCACTTTCACATGCGAGTTGCTCTCACTCACACACACACACACACACAGTCTTGGTTACTCTGCGTTGCATCAGACACTGAATCCATCTGACGGGCAGAAAAACACCACCGAGCTCGGCAAAGGTCCCTCGTTCCCTTTTCTCCCATTTGTGAGTCTCTCGTTGTTGTGTTAGCACACAACGTTACTTCCTCTTTCCAAACAACCGTATCGGGTGTGATGCGACTGTCAATCGCACGCTTCCAGGGTCAGAGCGTCCTTTCATTCAGGGTAAACCACGGAAGAATCAGACACGAAATTAGCATATGAGCTACAGTATTATGAGCTACAGTATTATGAGCAACAGTATTATGAGCAACAGTATTATGAGCTACAGTATTATGAGTAACAGTATTATGAGCTACAGTATTATGAGTAACAGTATTATGAGTTAGTATTATGAGTTAGTATTATGAGCTAACGTACTATGAGGAACAGTATTATGAGCAACAGTATTATGAGTTAGTATTATGAGCTACAGTATTATGAGTAACAGTATTATGAGGGACAGTATTGTGAGCTACAGTATTATGAGTAACAGTATTATGAGCTACAGTATTATGAGTAACAGTATTATAAGCTACAGTATTATGAGCAACAGTATTATGAGCTACAGTATTATGAGTTAGTATTATGACCTACAGTATTATGAGTAACAGTATTATGAGCTACAGTATTATGAGCTACAGTATTATGAGCTACAGTATTATGAGTTAGTATTATGAGCTACAGTATCATGAGCTACAGTATTATGAGTAACAGTATTATGAGTTACTATTATGAGCTACAGTATTATGAGTTAGTATTATGAGCTACAGTACTATGAGTAACAGTATTGTGAGTAACAGTATTACGAGTTAGTATTATGAGCTACAGTACTATGAGTAACAGTATTGTGAGTAACAGTATTACGAGTTAGTATTATGAGTAACAGTATTGAGTTAGTATTATGAGCTACAGTATTATGAGCAACAGTATTACGAGTTAGTATTATGAGTAACAGTATTGAGTTAGTATTATGAGCTACAGTATTGTGAGTAACAGTATTATGAGTAACAGTATTATGAGTAACAGTATTGAGTTAGTATTATGAATAACAGTATTATGAGTAACAGTATTATGAGTAACAGTATTGAGTTAGTATTATGAATAACAGTATTATGAGTAACAGTATTATGAGCGACAGTCTTATGAGTAACAGTATTATGAGGGACAGTATGTAGTCTCCTCACACGAGATGCGTTTAGTAAAAATAGGACGTCTGCACATTTGTTCATATTTTGACAGCGAGCTCCCGGTGTGTATGTGTGTGTGTGTGTGTGTGTGTGTGTGAGGTTATGACAGAATCAAGTTGTATTAAATCCACACACACATACATGTATGCAGGGAGGAGGGGGCAGAAGGAGTGTGGGGGGGTAAAGAGAGCGACAGAGTGAGAACACAAGGAGGTGGCAGGTGAGGAGGAGGAAGCCCGAGGCGTGAAGGACATCTCGAGTTCAGACAAGCCTCGGAATTCTTAACCCGGAGCACCAGTCGGGACTCGTGAGGGCGGAGACGGGACGTCAGATTGCGAGTTCACATCCCGGCAAGGAGACGGTTAAAAGCAGGTAGAAAACCAGCGCCCTCCTGGAGATGAGAATGTTTGTATGAGGAGAATGTTTGTATGAGGAGATGCGTTAAAGCTGCATTCTCTGTAGTGACCAGCAGGGGGCGACTCCTCTGGTCCCATAGACGTCTATGAGGAAATGACTCTACTTCTCTGTAGTGACCAGCAGGGGGCGACTCCTCTGCTCCCATAGACGTCTATGAGAACATTTATTCTCTCTTGATTTATTCCCTCAGTAGACATTTCAAACAGGAGTTCATGGTCTCAATCTCTGGTTTCAAGTCTTATTCAATACAGTTCATTTAGTGAATTATGGTCCATTTGGAGTCAAACAGACCATAAAGCAGGGGGTGCTTCAGGGCGGGGCTACACGCTGATTGACAGGTTCCTGGTGCGCCGCTGTCTGGTCTTGGCGTAGTTTTTTTGTCTTCATCTTACAACTTCAACTCTTTCAGAGTGCGTTTTTGCGTTTCTTAAAAGTGAGTAATAACATTATTGTATGTAAAAAAAGAAAATCTGCATTTGTAGCTCCACCCCTCCGAGAGAAACGGCGACGGGCGAAATGCTGAACGCATCTCTTTAAAGACTGCCCTCCACAATCCAACTGGTGACGTCGAGGTCCATCAAACTCATTCCTGAGGAGGACCACTAAATATCGGGCCCCTTGCTGATGCACTGCACTCACTATCAGCCGTTGTTGAGGATCCTCCATCTCGGAGGGTTAATAGTTTTCACTATTGCACTTCATCATTACACGAGCTGGGAAAATGACGATCAACTCAAATAATTCAATAATTCAGACAATACTTTCCCAGGAAGCAAAAACAAAAGAGTGACATCAGAACATCAGAAAGGAACCAGGAGGAAAGGCTTCCAGCTTCCAGCTTCCAGCTGCCAGGAGCGTGATGAAAGCGAGACGAGAAGGAGGAGGGAGGCCTTCTGGGAAACCACATCTGTGCTCCTCAGTCGGCGCCGGCGATCGATTCAGAGTTGAGCTCCTCCAGCGCAGACGAAGCACGACTCCGCCGTCCCGTAAAAGATGCGTTCAACCCAGTGAAGCGACTCTGACTGACTGGCTCAGGAGGCTCGATTTCAATCAATGGGACAAAACGAACTCTGTGTTCTCCGACGCCGATTCGCTGATCGAACTCGGCCAGGAGCCGCCGCCTCCTGATTGGCCAGGAGCTCTACATACCTGGAAGGTGAGACGACCTCCAGCGTTCAAAGCTATTTGGCGTCCTTGGGCTCTTTTTATCTGTGTTCCCTAAACTTTAATAAATGCTGATTTTACACAAAGGATTGTGGGTGTTTTCGGTGTGCAGAAAGGACACAAGTCAAAGGATCCTCCGCTGATTCTATAAATCTGTGTTTTCACCGTATTGATCCGCACACATCGACGACATCATCTGGATGGCAACGCTCCTTCCATCGAGCATCCAGACCTCAATTTACCCACAATGCCCTGCGATCGACCCCGGGTTTGACGCATCAACCATTTCGCCCAAAGCGGCCGTCGCTTGAAGCAGCAGATCGATGCTGAACGTCTCGTCACGCACACGCACACACACGCACGCACACACACGCACACGGGATGTCTGCTGTGTCGCTACACTCTGCGTGGGATTCTTTCAATGACAAAAGCTTCAGTAAAACAACGTGATTTCTTTGAGCTGCTCGACAGGAGTCAAGTTTCACAAACGCGTGAAGCTAAAAGAGTGTTAACGCGCCGTAGGTTCAATCGGCGGCGTTCTTTTTTCTCTCCGTTTGTCGCCGATTAAGACGTAATGCTGGTGATTCAGCTCTCGGGCGTCTCCGTCCGTCACCAGATGCACCCGATGTGGAGCTTCTCCGCTTTCAACCTCTGATTTGTAGAACATTCGTTAAACGGTTTCCATGGTGACTCATTTAATGAGACAAAGCGAGCCGGTTTTTGCTGGGGAGCGTCACGGCGGCGGCGAGTCTTACCTTGTACACCTGCCCGTAGGTGCCATTTCCAACCAGTTCGACCAGCTCAAAGATACCAGCTGGGTCCTGAGGAGGAAGAGGAAGAGGAAGAGGAAACACAAACAAGGCAAAGTCAGTCAGGAGAACATAAACTGATTCAAATTAACAAGATGCAAGATTTAGGAATGTGTGTGTGAGGAATCGGACGTGCGCGCACACACACACACACACACACACACACACACACACACACACACACACACACACACACACACACACACACACACACACACACACACACACACACACTGCAGCATTAGCCTGTGAAAAGCTTCTCTCTCGCCCCACTGTCATTCCTACAGAGCTACAAGCGTTCACACTAGGAACCTTTGAGGAGAAACACAGAGTTTCCATCCAGCTCCTACTTTGGGTGACAAAGATTCAAATGTCGCGAGGAGATGAATCCTCAGATCCACACGAGGAGAAAGTCAAGTTTGACATTTCAGGGGCAGAATTAGAAGACTAGAAACATCTTCTAATGTGAACGAATGAGAAAGAAAATAAGTGAATAGAAATGAACACTTTTGTTATTTGTGTGTTTTGGGTATTTCTGTGAGTGTGAAACAGCCGAAGCTTCCTGAAGCAGATTAGTTTGAAGAGTTCTTTTCACTCAAGGTCAAACGGAAGCAGATCTAGTCCGAAGACTGAAACTCATGCAACACACACACACACACACACACACACACACACACACACACACACACACCTGCTGCAGCTTCAACACCACACGCATCACAAAAACACCAGCGAGGAAGAAAAGAGGAAACCACGAGGAGCTGATGTAACAATCCTGCAGGTAGCTGGTGGCTAGGAGGCTAATTAGCACACAGGCAGCAAATGACGCAAATACAGGTGTGTGTGTGTGCGTGTGAGAGAGAGAGAGTGCATGGTAAAAAAGAAAAACTCAGTCAGAGCACTTTGGTCTTAATTAAGACGATAGGAATGTAATTTGACGTATTTGTGAGATTTAATAACTAAAAATCTAAATTGGAAGCTTATAGTTTTGTCACAAATCTGTGATATCTAAAATGGAACCAACTCATTTAAACGTGTTTGTATTCAAAGATTATTTTAAAAAGTTCCCAGTTTTCTCGCTTCCTTTCACAACGCTTCTGGCAGAGCAACTTCATTCTGCACAACTTTTTTTGCGCTTTCAAGACGAGAAAGAGGTTCTTAAAAAGCCCGACGCTGCATTTCTGTGACGCGCCGCGAACTCCGTCCTCGTGAGATCCGTTTCGTTCTCCCTCATCAGCGGTTCCGGGATGTGTTACCTGTACAACGCGGCTCTGATGGGACACAATCGCATAAGAAATGATCAACTCATTTATTCTTTTTTTTTGTTTTTGCCTCGAGTCAGAGGAGTGTAACAAAGAAAAATAATAATACTTAGAACTGAAGACTTCCAGACAAGCAGCTATAATCAAAAAACAAAAGGATCTGTTTCTATTAGTATTGATCATCAAAAAAACAGGAATCTGAAAGTTTTATTTGCTTTTTCTCTAAACAATCGTCACTCTGATCGAGTTCAACGATCCGCCGCACGCGACCACATCGATGATGGCGTCATACACCCTTAAAACCGACCGACGGGAGACTGAAGCCGTCGAACCGGAGCGTCGGTTCGATTCCCTCAGCGATGCGAGGAGGACGCGACCCCCGAGACTCTGAAGGAGACGAGGATAAACGAGGAAGGAGAGGAGCTTAAACGAGGAAGGAGAGGAGCTTAAACGAGGAAGGAGACACTTTGGGAAGAGAAGCAGGCTTTGCGTCACACTTAAACGCCCCCCCCCCTCCCCCCTCCTCCTCCCCTCCTCCCTCCCTCGTCCTGAGTGACCTAATTTAAAGATTCTCATTTCTACAAGAACATGCACCTCTTCTCCTCGGTTCTTCTGTCAACCTTTGTCCCACAGAGTGTCTCTGTAACGCACACACACACACACACACACACACACACACACACACACACACACACACACACACCACACACACACTCTCGGTCATGTCCAGACTTGAGTGCTGCTCTGCAGGTACGTCTCTGGTCTCTGTTGCGTAACAGCAGCAGAAGAGGAGACAAGATAGTGTGCAGAATGTCTGTCACACACACACACACACACACACACACACACACACACACACACACACACACACACACACACACACGATGCAATGCTGACACAACATCACGAAATGGCGGAACTCGCTCCTGTTGCGTTATCATCGGTATTATTCAGCGTGTGTGTGTGCGTGTGCGTGTGTGTGTGTGTGTGTGTGTGTGTGTGTGTGTGTGTGTGTGTCAGTGAGCAGGCAGCTTAACATCTGCCCCAGATCGCCGGCTGCAGACAGAGCGGCCTCTATTATGCTGTCTGACGCACGCGCACGGGCGTGTGCACGCGCGGCAGCTCAGGGCCTCGTTACATCACGTCCCAAACGTTGAAGAAAAAACACCAACAACAAACAACAACAACACGCGTGTCGGGCGGGAGAGGACACACACGATCCCACGTTCTTCCATCCGACCTGATTTCCCTCAATCCCTGACCGCCGTGCACGCGCGCACACACACACACACAGACGTGCTAGCGTACATGCACGCGCACCACCGGCCAGAGGAAAGTGCAGCGAGACGCATCCTTGTGAGGAGAGGAGGCAAGTGGGTGAAGAGGAAGGGAGGATGGGGGTTAAGAAGGGGGAGGGGATGGGGGGGGCAGGTGCTCAACAGCCCAACGCGCACGCACCTACACACACACACACACACACAGACACACACAGACAGACAGACAGACAGACAGAGCGCGGGCGCATTTACCCGCAGGGCGGACAGGTCTATCTCGTCCAGGCTGCGCGCCGGGGAGTCGCTCGCCATCGTCTCTCAAGATGGAAGCTCCTCGCGACCATCGGCCGCGGCTCCTCCGCGAAGACACACGGGACACCGAGGGACGCGGTCCGCTCCGCCGCCGCCGCCTCCTGCTGCTCCCCTGGAATAGAATCAGTCCTCAGGGCGCTCCGGGGGGGCGGTGTTGCGCGGCGGCTCCAGGTTGCTACATGCTGCTCGGCGCTACATTCCTCCACCTCGACACCCGAGCGCAGGACACAGGGGGGGACTCAAAGAGACAGGTTGGGACGCGGGGGGGGGGGGGGGGGGGGATTCGAGGCGCGCGCACACAGACAAACACGCACGCTAACACGCGTGCACACACACCGCCGTCGGTCCGTCCGTCGGTCCGTCCGTGTGGCGGAACAGCAGCGCGCTTCCCGGGAGCGGCCTGCGAGGAGGCGGCGCTGCAGACGGAGACGCCCACAATGACGCGCGTGGACGCACGCACGTACCTGCGCGCACACGGCCACACGCCTTTAGCGTGACAGGAGAGAGACGCACAGCTGTCTGCTCCTCATTGATGATCCGTCACGGCGTCACACCGCTACCTGCAGGGGGGGGGGGGGGGGCTCAGCACGCGGCCCCCGGGGGGCCTTCATTGGTTGTCATCATCGATAGTTCTTATATCATAATATAAAGAAGTGCACACAAGGCATGAATATGTTTGTGTTCATTCTGTGTCTTCTCGACTCTTTGTAGCTCTGTGTCTCTTGATTGTCGCTTGTTTTCTCATTTGTTTGGAGACTTTTTGTCTCTTTTTGCCTCTTTTCATCCCTTTGTAGTTGTTTTTTGTAACCGAAGCGTCCAAAACCTTTCCGTGGCCCCGAGTCTCTCCCCCCCCCCCCCCCCAGAAACGCACCTGTTGAGTCACGGTTCTGTGCTCCTGCAGACTGAACCACTGAACCAGCAAATAACAAAACGCTGTGATGTTCAGATCAATAAACAGGGAGAAAGAACAAGAGGGACAAATACAAACTACAGATGTTCCTGTGTTCATTTGCTCCGATGAGTTGATGACAAAAGACATTTTCTGACACTTCATCAAATGACTAATCAATAATCAATAAATCAACAATGACAATAATCGTAGTTGCAGCCTAACTGGCTGTTTTTTTAGTTACTCATTTCCCCAAAAAATGAATAAATAAAAGTTAAAAGATAAGGACTGATTAGTTGTGAACGCTTTGTGATCCTGTAACTAAAACACACTGAACGACGTTCACGCGCCTCAAAGAGACGCTCTGAGGTGTGACGTCATTCATCTCCTCAGAGAGAAGACGTCACCTCGGTATCCCGGAACCCGATTAATGATCTGACCAACCGGGACCAACCGGGACCAACCGGGACGGACGGAAGCGTGGCGCCACCCGGAGGCGCAGCGGGGAGCCGCGGGGGGGAGGAACCCGCCTCCTGGAGGTTTGCATCATTTTGGTTTGTGGTTTGGATGAAAAGAGCGATGAATATGATGCTTATGAGTAATATGAGTAATATGATTAGAGTAATATTATGATTATGAGTAATATGAATAATATAATAGTAATATTGAGGAAGAAGGAGGGACGATGGAGATGAAGATCAGAGGGATAACATGGGTTTCATAGAGGGAATTAATCACGTGACCTTTACCTTGCTTTTTAAAACGCACTTCTGCAATATTAACGTCCCCTCGTGTCTCCTGGAGCTGCTGCCTCACAATAACATTCAGGAGAAAACCTCCAGATAAATGAATGTGATATTACATTTCTGCTGATAGACACTAATGAAGATTCCCCACCAGACCTTAAAAAACTCATTGCAAGGATGAAATCCTAAAAATATGTAATATAAATTAATTTCTTTATAAATTCAGCCCCCCCCTCCACCCAAAGCCTGTCATCCAGACACTAAAGACACGTCTAAAATGTTTCTTAAATTAGAAAACAGCGTAGTCAGATTCAGCCGTTGATTCCGTTGTTGTTGGGTCTCCAGAGGTTCATCACATTCATCATGATTAAGAACACAACGTTTCACTTGAGGAATCTTATGTCATGAGATCAGTGTGTCACACGATAAGAGGACCAATAACGTACTACTTTGTTTATTTATTCCATCGAGCCACAAACAGCGTGCAGATCACGAGAGGAAGCAACAGTCATGGAGACACAGGGACTCAATGAAATGTGAGGTTCCATCCGCACTCGATATGCATCATTAGGAGGAGATCGAACACCGAGATCATATCGACCTTTCTGACTTTAAATTCACTGTGGGTGCTGAGAAACAAACTTCACCTCGTAACACGTTCCACTGGTTTGAAGCTTAAGGAGATGCGCTGGAGCCGGAGGCAGAAACGGAGGAGAGGACACGTGCAGAACCTTCACCCAAATAATTGTGATTATCAGACGTTGTATTTAAGGCCTCCTGTTTCCACCTCCCACATCCGTGTTACACTTAAAGTGCATATTTACGAGTAAAAAAACCCTCAAACCGGCACCGATAAACATCTTAAAGCTGTGAAAGCTAAAACTTTCCTCCTTTACGGCACAAACTGTTCATCATGCACGAATCTGTGAGAAAACCACCAAACGAAAGAGGAGCGCAGAGCTTCATTCGGTCGTTTCCTGGTTTCCTGGAAAGGTTCTTTTGCAACACTTTTACAACAAGAAAGAAGTCTGCAATATACTCGAGAAACAAATGAATGTTTATTAACGAATAAAGATTCACCCAAATTATAGTCGCTCACTCATCACCATCACGTGGAAAAGACCGACCCGTGAATCAAGACGCTTCTCCAGAGCGCCGATCACGGCGTGAAGGTCTCCGGGATGCACGGATCTGCTCTCAACAGTCGCTCCACTTTGGCACTTGTGATTTCCTGTTTGACATAAATATTAAAGCTTCAGAGACGCCCGGGGACGTCCTCGCCAAAGCCACTTTGTCTCTCTGTCGTTGCATAGTGTGGTAGCAGAGTGGGCGGAGCCTATCGCTCATCGCTTGTCCTTCTTGTAAACGCCTGCTGTGCGTCGGTACACGCGTGTCCTCTGCGTTGTCACAGCGGCACACGCGTACGTGTGATCTGGCTCAGGTGCACGCGCCGGTGCACCGCTGGCGTCCTTGAACACAGCGGACGCCATTCTGGGTGATTTTGCAGCTAGAAGCCTCTCCTCACGGAGGCCAAGTAGCTGTTGTTCAGCGAGTATTATATTTATAGTTATGTTTTCTTTTGTGTATAATCAGCTCTGGGGGCGTCACTATACATTATAGCTGAACATATATATATATATATATATATATATATTATTTTTTTATCATGTTAGAAGTGGTAATTATGTATAACGTATTGCAATCTGCGAAGCCAAACCGAGATGGCATCAAATCTCACAAACCGCCCCTGCGAACGGAAAGTGAGGTTTCACCCGTTTGATCATGTGACCGCTCGTGTTTGTTCCTCTGAAAGTGTATCATCATCATCATCATCATCATCAGTGAGGTTTTTATCTCTGCTGCGCCAAAGAAACGCTTTGTTACTTTGTGCATAAATGATTCTACTGCACAAACAAACAGTTACATATATTTTGTTGTGCAAAGGCCAGATATCGTCACATGCAGCTATCTGATGTAACTGGGAGTAAATAACGCTAAAACCGTATCTCAAAAGGTTGTTTTCAGCCGCTTTGACCTCCAGAATGGCACGAGTCGGGTTCTTTGGAACCTGCAAGCCGTCCGGATGTTGTGGTGTTGCCGAGGCCTCAGGTCCAGACCTCCATGGGCACCATGGCCTCCTTGGAGCCGATGGGGGGCAGCAGGTTCTGCTCGGACAGGAACTGCAGAGGGAACTGGACCAAGAATCCGCGGATCCTCTGCAGCTCCTCGCGAGCCCGGACCGGGTCCTCCTTCTCCAGGCCCGGCTCGGCGAGGTATCCCTCCAGCTCCAGGATGCTACGGACGTCGCTGGACGGAAGACTTCTGAAGACCTGGAGGAAGAAAGAAGAGGACCGACGGGAGCGAGAGAAGGTTTACAAACGGGTGCAAATGTCAAAGGACCCGTCCGATGACGCGAAGAGCCAGACGCACCTTCTGGTAGATGGCGGCGTTTCGAGCGCAGGTCGACATCCAGATCTCCTTGTAGAAATGATCGCTGAGGGGATCGGACACGTCGATGGACGCGTCCGTGTTGGCACCCAAAATCATCCTGAGAGGAGGGGGGAGAGGGGTGAGGAGGGGTGAGGGAACAAAGAGGAACTCGAGTCGCTGCAGGAAGTTGCGAGTGATGTTGAGAAGCGGTCGTGATGATGACTTTTAAGTCGACGTTTGACACGTCAGTGATTGGACGCTGAATAAAACGGGTTCTGAAAGTCTGAAAGAAACAAAAGTGACCACAAACAGACACAACATAAGAGATCACGAATGACACAATACGACCGGAAAACGACACATAATTAAGACAGAATTACTACAAAAACACACAAAACAGACACACGTGTGCCACAAAGTGAAAAAAGGAGACACAAAAAGTCAACAAATACTCACAAAAGGGCTGCAAAGAGACGCAAATCCACAAAACAAAAAAAAAGGCACAAAATTATCTAAAGAAGAAACAAAGTGAGGAAAAGATGCACAACGACGGCATAAAGATGCGCAACACAACCGGAGGAGGGAAATAAATAAGCAACAACAAAGTAGGTTTCCGTACCTGAAGCACTCGAGGCGGAGCCGCAGGGCGTATTTGCCGGCCCGGTACTCCTGCCCGTCCATCACCCCGGTAACCGTCTCCGAGTCCTCCACGATCACCGCCACCTCGCTGTCCCTCTTTCCCAGCATGCTCCTGTCGTTGATGTTGGCCGACCCTGCAGGACCAGAAGAGGAGACTGGTGAGTCCGCCAGCAGGGGGCGCCGCGGCACCGGAGTTCAAGTACCGGTACAGGTACAAGTACAAGTACAAGTACAGGTACCGATGATGACGGTGTTGTCGTCGGCGATGAGCATCTTGCTGTGCACGTAGATGAGCTCGGTGACCAGCTTCCCCTCCAGCTCGGCGTGGGTCCGCAGGCCGGCGATGGAGATGTAGTTCATCCACTGGTCGCCTACTGCAAACCGCACACATTTACACAACATCGCACAAATTTAATCTCTACAAGGGGGAAAAATAAACATTATTTATATACATAGAAGATCGAACACAGAGATGATGTACAAATAATAAAATAATATATACAAATAAACTAAAGCGTTTCTGCTGGTGGGATCTGGGACCTCGCCACCAGATGGCGCCACAATGAACAATTCGATTTAAGGGTCAAATACAAGCGCTCTGAAACGGCGTCACCCAGGAAACAGACGACTTCAAAAGAAAATGTCCAAAGAGTCGTGAACAGAATCCGACTCACTCTCTCTCTGCAGCTGGGAGATGATGGAGTGGTCTCCTCGGTTCATGGTCCTGCAGGGGGAGCAGAAGATGTTCCTTAAGCCTGTGTGTGTGTAATGTAATGTGTGTGTGTCTGTGTGCATGCGCGCGCATAGGGGAGCCTGAGTGTTTACTCAAGAAGAGAGACTACACAAGGAATGTCAGCCTCAAAAGGAATGACACACACACACACACACACACGTGTACAAAGGTCAAGGTGTGGCAGAAGTCTTTCTCTGGGTATTAACCCTTAAAGAAACAGAAGGTGGGTAAAAGGCTTCATCACACTCACACACACACACACACACACCTGTAGTTGAAGTGCATGACGGCCTGGATGGCGCTGCCCCCCCCGGTGTTGATGTCTCCTTCGAAGCCCGGCAGCAGCGGCGTCACCACGTACACGCGGTACTTCTTCCCCTCCCTGCAGGCGAGAGGGAGCGACGCCGCTTAGTGATTTGAAGCTTTGTTTTCATGTTTTTAAGGGTTTTATTACGTTTCTGTTGCGTTTGAAGGAAGTTTGTTTCAAGGAATTAGAGGCAGAATCTTGAAGAAGAAAACTTGTTTATTTTCCTACATTTTAAGATGACTGATTCAACATAATTACCAAAATGTGGTAATCATATTATTCTGGAGGTATTTTAAAAGAACACTTAAATGAAGTGTGTGTGTGTGTGAGTGTGTGTGTGTGCGCGTGCTCACTTGTGTGCTCGGATGATGCGCTCGGCTATAGCGTCTCCTATCTTGTTGAAGACGAGTCTGTTGTCTGCACAGCTGATGAAGAACTGATTCTGAAAAACGCAAAACCACAACAACTTTACATTTGAATTTAATCCCAATTTAAGTTGAGGAGAAAAAGATTCTTCAAGTTTCACCGATTTAAAAGAATTGATTGTTTCAATGAGCACTGAAAGGAAAAGCTAATCAGCTGAAACATAGAAGGGATGATTTATCAAACGATGCATCGGCGAGTGGAAGGAAACCTCGATGTAGACAAAGTGGCGGCTGCTCTGGATGACGTGCACGTAGGCGTTGTGGATCGACTCCTCGTGGTACTTGATGCCAGCCGACCAATCGCAGGCCGAGCGGAGGATCTGAAGGAGCAAGCGAGATAGAGAGACGCTGTTTCACCCCGTTGCATTGCATTGTGGGACACCACTCAAACGCTCTCCCGTGATGCAAAGCGCTGCACCGACCTGCACCCGGGCCGGCGTGCAGCCGGGGACCTGATAGCGCTGCTCCGCGGCCGTGGTGTGAGACTTGGGCAGCAGGTACGGGTACGACAGGGAGCGGTACTTAGGCTTCACCAGCTGGGGGAGAAAATATAAGAACAACCGATTCATGTCGTCTTCCACAGACCTGATTTCATCACTTCCACAGGTAAATAGCTTAAATATCGAGTCTGCTGCTCTGACCTTGGTGAAGTTCCACCTCTGGATGAAGTGTCTGGCCACGTCCCGGGCCGCTTTCCCGTGAACCGCCGAGGAGATGTCGTGCCACGGCATCCTGGGGGTCGTGTGTCGGTCGATGAAATCTACAGCGGGGGAAACGCCAGAGGGGAAGTAAGAAAAGAAATGGCTCGCTCGCCACTTGGAAGGACCGGGGGCGGCGGCGGCGGCGTCCTGACCTGCAAAGGGTTTTTCCAGCTGGATCCAGTCCTTGTACACAAAGTTGCAGTAGTCCTTCCCGTGCCAAAAGCGCGCGTTTCCCAGCAGCGGCCCGACGTCGGTCTGCAGGCTGCACGTCGAGTGGCTTCCTAAACAAAACAGCGACGTGATGAAACCTCAGCCTCAAACCTCAGCCTCAAACCTCAGCCTCAAACCTCGGCCTCTAAAAGCTACTGGCTTCAAACTAAAGCCACGAGAAGTCGAGTCATGTTCTCATAGATCACTGAACCCCAGAGGAGGGATGCACACTGCACACACACCTCAAACGTTGTTTGAATTATTTCACATATCTGAAATACATGAAAACAAACAATGTGAGGAAATGAAAAGCAATCAGCTGTTGGTTCAAAGTTATTACAACCTCATTTGTTGACAGTATTAAATAGCGATTGATAAATAACTTGTTTACTCCAGCAGAGAAGGATACTTCTGTTTAAGACTTTTATTGTCTTTTACACTTGCAAATCAGTATTTAACAGATTTTGTGTGTTCGATCACCTTAATGCCTCCAAGCTTTGGTCCATCAACTCAATTTGTTGATGTTTCTGTCGTTAAAATCAGTCACAAAGTTCTAATAGTCCCAAATAATAATTCCCTCTAAATGAAGTAAAAGATCCAGCGACTGAAGCTGCACCGTAGAAACCTAAATGTTCTTCAAAGACACAAAGGGACCAAAAGGTCGTTTCAATCCAGATCAAAAAAACCACAGCACAGCAGTCGGATGGGGGTCGGATGGGGGGCAGGTGGGGGGCAGGTGGGGGGCAGGTGGGGGGTCGGATGGGCGGCGCTCACCGGCCCGGCGCCAGCCCGGCGGGCACCGGTCCTGGGCTCGGGGACCAGCGCGCGCTGGCTGGTGAAGCTGCTGGACCAACCTGACACAGACACAGAGAGACGGACCACGCCGCCGTCTACCCGTGAGGCCTAAAGAGCCGCCGCGGCTTCACGCCGCTCGCCGCTCAACGACGAACATTAAGGGACAAGGTACAAGAAGATGTTCTGATTCTGTGGTCCACCACCAGACTCCATTCACACAAGCTCAGGCTCCACCTCTCAGAACACAGCGGTGGCCTTTATAACAGGAACTGGATACACATGCACTCACTCTCGGCCTCCTCCAGCTTGCTGTCGCTGTCAGCGTGGGCCAGTCCGTGTTTCTGCAGGTGTTTCCTGATGCTGAACCTGCTCCTCCTCGTCCTCCCCTGACCCTTCAGCCTGGGCTGGTCCACCGAGTCCGTCACCGTGAAGATGCCTCTCCCGTTGCCCTGGGCGACGGCGGCGGCGCTGTTAGCCGGGGCGGCCGTCCCAGAGGAGCCGTCTTCCCCCTGAGAATAACGTCAACACGTCGGCGTGTAAAACGAATCAAACCAGGGCTGCTGGTGTCGATTTGACTGATTAAAAAGGTGAAGAACGAGCGACCTGCTCCGGGTTCGTGAGCGTGACGCTCCCCACGTCCGTCAGCCGGTGCTCCCGGTCGTCCCAGCGACCGTACGCCAGGTCGATCCCGCCCACGAAGGCCACCGATTGGTCGACGACGATGATCTTCTCGTGATGCGCCCACAGGTAGACGGCGGAGGAGACGTGGTCGGGGTGACGCATCACCTTCGGGGGGGGGAGTAAAAAAATAATTAAATGCAAGAACTCAAGACAGAACTGCAGTTCCTCAAATGGCCACTCGAGGCTCCGTAAACGAGTCGAGCAGAAAGAATTCACTTATTCATTTAATGAATCATTTATTACAATAAAGAAAGAACTGTAGGAATTTAATGAATAATGTAATATAATGAATAAAGAAATAGAGGAATGAAAACTGCATTTTAATACAAAGAATAAATAAAACAGATAACACAGGAAACATGGACCGGCCTTGATGTTGGGGTGAAGGGTCAGCAGCGTTCTCTTGCTGTATTCCGAGTTGATGCCCAGCGCCAACTCCACCTCCTTGTACAGCATCACAAAGATCCGCACGCCTTGTTGCTACGGAAACAACGACGGACACACATTCATTATTTCATACGTTTAAATAAGTAACATAAAAAATGAGTAGCGTGACAAATAAATAGATAAATATTTTTTTTCATTCTCAAATTAACCTTCACATTTATTTGAAAATAGAAGTTTTTAGTTGTCATTTGTCTCCGTGGCTTCCTGCTCACCGCTTTGCGTTTCAGGACGCAGTCCAGGCGCCAGCGGTTGCCCTCGACAACCGGCCTCTTCAGGAAGATCTCCGGACTCAACCTGTGCAGCGACGCAGACACATTACATTGTTGGATACTTGAGTACAGTTTAATGGCAGTACTTTCTACCAATAGTACTACAGTACATTGTAGAGTATACAGAATGTGATGGGTTTTTTTTTATCCTAACAGTCTTTGCACTACTACCATTTACTCAGGAGTACTTCTTACAATACTTTAGATACTGTAAAGCCCTTACAGACACACACATTTCAATACTACGTGTGTGTGTGTGTGTGTGTTTGTGATCTAAGCACTTGCAACTTATAAACTGGTTATACAAATGAAGCATTTAAAAGGGTTACATATCATTTTCCCATTACATGAGTAACAGTAGTCAGAGACTCTGTAACAGATCTGTTTGCACTTGGCGGTCACCTCTTGGGGAGGTTTTCACCGCACTGAGAGACACACACCTTCAGACCACACAGCACGCACAAACATACACACACGTACCACCAGTCTGTGATGAAGATTTCTTCCTTGGCTTCTTCAAGAGCATCAGCCACGTCCTCCATGTACGTTTGTCCATTCACATACCTGTAGAGGACACACACACACACACACACACACACACACACACACACACACACACCATTAGACAGAAAGAACAACACAAACAAACCCTCCCATCAATATGCATTTAACGCACACACAGTGTGTGCGTCTCACAGGCAGTATAGTGTTTCCCATCAGGGAGACAGGTGAGGCTCACTTTCCCTCGCTTTGTGTCAGGTTACTCCAGCGAGAGACACACACACACACACACACACACACACACACACACACACACACACACACACACACACACACACACACACACACACACTTGTCTAGACTTTGTCATCAACATCTGGCCACTAATGCAGATAAAGAGTCCGCTGAGACCGAAAGGTGAACTTGTTCCCTTAATCT